TTGAGGCTTTGTCTCAAAAAAAGAATAAATAAATAAATAAATAAGAAATAATAACAAATGTATGCAAGATCTGTATTTGAAAAATACAAAATATTACTGAGACAAATAAGAGAAGATGTAAATGAAATAAATAACTCCCAAATGGGCGCATATATATAGATACACAAAAATTAAAAAATGTAAAATTCGTGTGGATGGAAATAAACAAAGCCCTCCCAGAAACACTGATAAATTGAGCAAGTTGAAATTTGCATGGTTGAATCAGAAAGGACACTGATTCAACTGTGTTTCTTGGAAGTGAAATAATGGACCACAACATTAGTCTATCTCAAAACTTCCATAGTGGGCAGCGCCTGTGGCTCAAAGGAGTAGGGCATCGGCCCCATATGCCGAAGGTTGCGGGTTCAAACTCAGCCCTGGCCAAAAACCGCAATAAATAAATCAATAAATCATTAAAAAAAAAAAAACTTCCATAGTGACCTGTATATATATATATATATATATATATATAAACTGTTGATGGATGTGAACGTGTTTTCTCCAAATTGTGCATAAATTCAATGTAAATTCAAACAAATTTTCAGGAGAACTTCTGTAGAACTTGACAAGCTGATTCTAAAATTTATATGGAAAATCAAAGAACTAGAATGTGAAAATTGCCACTAAATCCACATAAGAAGACTCCCTGCATTTCCTGTCCCATTTCCCAGGATTCCCACCACTTCCCCCACAGCCCCCACCTACATAGCAGGCACATGGTCTCCAAACTCAGGGGCAGGAGTTGTTTCTCAGCAAAGCCTGATGGTCCCAGGGGTGGGTGACTTCCAGCCTGGCAGTCTTCATTCCATGTCCCCTGAAGCACAAAATTCCCAGCAACCCAGGAAAGAGATCTCCAAGAGCAAAGGGCAGAGGTGGGGCAGTAGCATGTCTGGGTGGAGGTGGGGGGCTTCTAAGGAAGGGCTGTCCTCTCAGGGCTTTTTCTTTCTTTCTTTCTTCCTTTTTTTTTTTTTTTTTTTTT